CTGACATTTTGCCCAGTAGGGCTGATATACTGAACTGTAGGGGAGGTGAGGGCTATCCTATACGCGAAAAGTACCTTAACCATATGAGCTGTCGAGGCAGCGTACCATGACTCAGGGACGTGTGAAATGGTGCGGCAAGATATTGAGTTAGTTGTAGTATGCCGCAGTACAGAAGGTGTAGTAGATGACATCCTCACGAATAAACATAAGCGGCTCGACTTACTGTGGTATTCAATATGTCACTTGACCAAGTTGTGTTGCCTACGGATAGGAAGGATGCAACCGTCACTTCCACACATAAAACGGGACCAAGAAAACTTATTTATGACTACAGACCTGTCAGCCTCACCAGTGTTGCAGTTAAAATACTGGAAAGGATAGTCAAATTGATCATAGTGACATTTGTCGAAGAATATGGTTTCAGAAAAGATTTATCTTGCACAACAAACCTCCTTACAGAGAAGAGCAGTACATAAAGGCTATAGACAATAGAAAATCAGTGGATGCTGTATACATAGAATTCAGTAAGGTATTCGACAAAGTACCAACAAATATTATATTCTGACGATGTAAAAATAGCAGGAGATGCAGATGCACGCGCACTTCAGGCAGGCTTGAATATTGTGGTTAATTGGTCTAAGGAGTGGCTGTTACCTATCAACGCGACGAAATGTGTCAACACGCACTTAAGGGATACAGAGGTTGGTAGGAACAGCATAGGGGAAATGCTTGTACCCGTGGCCTGGTCCTATATGGGTCCTGGAGTGGCAGTGAGTCATGATTTTATGACCACGCCCCATTGCTGGAGGTTGTAACCAAATAGTTTCGGACTCTATGAGCTTTAAGACAGATATTCACCAAGTTAGATACTACTATGTTCACTACAGCACACAAAACCTTGGTGAGAACTAAGATTGAGAACCGCGTTCAGGCTGCAAGCCCCTGTGTAAAAGGTGACTCAGATAGCCTGGAAAAAATACAAAGAGCAGCTACCCATGCAACTGCAGAACTCGGATTTAACTATACAAAGTGCGGCTTAAAAAGCTAGACGTCTTTACTCCACCCTACCGCAGATTAAGAGGTGATATGGTTCTCATGTATAGGATATTAAGAAATGATTTTGGACCTAACATATTTCATCATTTTCTTCTCACTGGATCGGGACATGTCAGGTGATTAGAAAAGCCAAGAACGAATAAAATACCAGTGTCATACAGATTTTCTCACCGAGTCATCAATTCTCGGAACCTGTTACCCAAGGCAGTGATGTCCACATCTCCAATTGATATGAAGTTGACAGTCGTTTATTAACACTCAGATTGAGTGGAATCTGTCACATCAACACATTAATGAATGTTCACGCTTCAACACAAGGAAACGAGACCGTGGCATCAACCACCATTGCAAACATCGTAATTCAAAACTGATGCCCCATTTAAACTTCACATTCCACTGAAATCGTGCTATCAGTCAATGCTGACCAATGAGAATAGCCTATAATTGCTGTGAACAGGAGGATATAGTGGCGAATAATGTACAAACATAGGATAACTGAATTCATATTTTATTGGTGATTGGTCCAATAAAGCGGCTTTAAAAAAGCACAAAAAACCCTAGATCAAGTTTTTATCATACGGAAATCAAACATAATAGATACAGCCGTGGATATTCACATGTAAGCCTCTCAATTCATCAATGCTTTTCGCCAGGTAAGGCACCAAACCACTTTGAACTACAATTGAGTCTTATCAGAATTCAATAGTCAACTTGACACAAAGAGGTCGCCTATTCATCAACCAGAACGTATCATTTCCATGCTCTGGTATGCTTAACATTACTTTTCTAATCTAGTTTTGTGTGTTGACAATGAAAACATTCATGTCATCAACAACTTCTCAATGCAATCCATAGTTATTAGTTCACGAAACCTGATTTTTAGGCTAATGTGAGGTAGCACGGTGTTTTTTTAGGTTCCCGGAGCATAAACTCTCAAATAGCAAAACAAAGACAATGAGAGCACCAAAATGCCAAACCAAGTTGTCCAAAAAATAGTGATATAAACAAACACGTTCAGTAGTTGAATAAAACAATTACATCCAAAACGCGGTGAATTATTAATATTTAATATAAAGGTTTTTATCAGCCCAATATCTTCATTTCTCCCGCAACAAATACATCTGTTTTGTGGCTGAACAGTTGAAGATAGGCAATTGCCATTGCCCGGGCAGTCGATGAGTGCAACGGCTGGCAACACGACATTTGCACGAATCTAAAACATGCGCCTTTCAATCTGTAAAGTGGAAATGTTTATATCAGAAGTGCTGCTCAGACACAAATAGTTTGTTAGCCGAGGCTGTTTCAATACTGTCAAAAAGTGTATTAGCAAACGAGATAAAGACCCATCGGACAGGACTCGCTCTGTCGACACACAAAATGAAGTGGAGCCGCCTCAAATGGGCTCGGAGACAGTCGACTCACATCGATCAAACGAGGACTGACTAACTTCAAAACGGTTTGTCCCAAATAAAAAGGCAAGAAATTAAATTTTCCCTGTCCCTCGTCCGCTATATGGTATCGGCAGGAAACTCCTAGAAATCCCACTCGCAAGGCTAGATCTATTCCCAGCAGGAAAAAAACCTAACTGTCTACGTCGTCGATGATCTTCCGGAATCACACAAAGTGTTTGACGCGACTGTGGTTGCTACTCCAATGAAAGTTGATGGATGGCTACAGAGCGAGAACAAGAAACGACAAAGCACTATTAAAGAAAATCCAGACCCCCAAAATGTAGTCGAGAAATTAAACACAGTTCGCTGTGACTGGTTAGTCATCTTTCAGACAGTGGAATTCTCAGAACCTAAAGCTCGTTTTCAGCATGACATTGGGTTGATAAAACAGCTACTAAATCAGCTACTACCTCAGGGCATCTCCGGAGTCACCTTACTAAAGGTTTATAGACTAGATAGCCAAATGAACTTGAAACAGAATCAAAACAGGCAGCCTAAAAAGGTGGCTTAACCTCCTAATGAGTGGGACCTAATATTACAGAATGGAGTTTCTGTCTATAAAGACTTGTCGCTCGCAGACCGTGTAAAAAGACAAGGAGCCGAAAAAAACTAAAACTTAGGTTATATGCTTACGAAGAAGACTCAAAATTTGTAAATTATCGAGTTGCGAGTTTTCAACGGAAAATGATGCCGAAGCTACAATGGGTGCAGCACGAAGTCATTTTAATAGGCTTTGGATGTGTTTCGCTAATCCTCGAAGCTTGCTCAACTAGCTGTCTGAACTAGATATACAGACTGGTCCTACCTAGCCAGATATAATCACAGCCAAAGAAATTTGGCTGATGCAACTTATAGATAGTATACAGCTTGATTTTTAAGGTTTAACGTTAGTAAGAGCCGACAGAATAATAGAACTTGAGTTCCCAATTGAAACAGCTTGAGACGTGTTTTAAAATTTATACTTAAACGTTACGGCACCCCACACCCTTTGAACTACCCCAAAAAGGCCGAGATACTCTTCATCATGCCTCAGTACTAAGGTTCACACGAGACAAAATCTCAATATCGAGAAGCTCGGAATAATTGTTTCTCGACGCCCCGTAAGTCTAGAAGGCTGCACGACAAAAAAATGTTAAAGAATCTATGGAACGCCCTAAACGCTTGTATTCGTATATAAACCAAAGGACTTTAGAAAGAGGAAGTATTCCAGCAGCATGGGGAGACAGTAATGCTATGACTTTGTTTAAGCTCAAGTATTCTCAAACTACTTTGTGAATATATATACCGTAGAAACACCCTTCTCGTCAGTTCACGCAAATTCCACCACACTGGACAATGCGGCCATTAAAAACTCGAAGTCTTTGGTCTGCTAAATAAGCTTGTTATAGGCAAATACATGGGACCTGATGAACTGCAAACTAGGTTATTAACGGAACTAGCTAACTTCGTTGTGAACCATTTAGATATATGCTTTAATTCATCCGTAAATTAGGGTCGTTTACCAAAAGACTGAAAGAACGACAAAGTAAGTCTTGTCTTCAAAAAAGTTGCGAGACATAAACCTGAGAACTACTGACCCATCGGTCTAACTACCGTGGTTCTTAAAATTTTAGAAATAATTCAGTAGGATACGTACACGATGAATAACATTGAGCCACCTGTTGTCCAGGCACACATTGACATAAGAATCATCGTTAACCAGGACTTAAAAACTCCTGCACACTGCCATACAGTGGCCGCCATATAACCTCATGGTCAATATTAAAGATGCCACAGGTATTCGGGGTTTGATAACGCTTTAACCAGCAACACCTTCTACTATGAACCGTACCCACCAAATGAAATCGGCAGAGGTTCGAAGATATATTTGATAGGCCATCAATATACCGAAGATCGTCTGACCTAATCTGGCTAGCGATCGCAAGGGTTGTTGAGCACGGCGTTCCCACTCGTGATCTGGTGAGGATGCATGACCGAGCGCCTTCAGCTAGGTGAGCCCAACAAAACTAATGTGGTCAACATCCAATGTCGAAGACTTACAGAGCTATTTATTTTGGAGATTTATTTGCCGCTACAATATGTAGGGCCTCTAGTCATGTCAACGCTAAAACGTTTCTGACTTTGTTCACAGTATTCGTGCGCACCGAATACGAGTGACTGACCTCTGCTTTGAAAAACGCAGTGGGCTTTTGAGAACAGAAACTAAGTTGACTCTTGAAATAGCGAAGCCCTCGTATGATGCTCGACTGGTTAAACTAAACCAATTCCCGTTGTCATGTCGACGATCAAAAGGTGACCTGATTACAGTATCCAAACCACTGAGTGACAGATTTTCACCATATCTGCCCTCATTTTCCTGTCTTCTAAAACAGGGAATTTAAGAGGACACTCCAAAAAGTCCACCAGTCCAGAACAAATTACGTGTCAGCTGACCGTCGACTTTCCCATCGAAACATCAAAAAGTGGAATTCATTACATCAACACGTGATAGATGCTCCATCTACCGACCATTTCAAAATAACAATTGAGGGACCATCATTGCCAGAACTAACACAAACCAATAAGCCTGCTGTCCTTGCCGAGCCGAAACTGAAACTGTTTGAGCGCTACATTCTTAAATTTAATGACCCTCAAAGTTACCCGCTGTTTTATCAACAACAACTGGTGTTGGCACGACTAATTTTTCATGTCGAACTGATTTAGGACTAAGTGAGTGTTATTATTGATTTTTAGCATTAAATATATGATAAGTTGTGTGTGAACCTCATATGCTTTCTGAGTAATCGGCCTGTATTTTCTCCTTTCCAGTTTTTTTACCCACTCTGTTTTGCCACAATCTCCCAAATTTAGGGGAAGTTTTAGGGGAATCCCTAAGGTCAAATATCCTTCACCAAGGTCAAAGGAAAATATTGGGAGTTTCTCCCAGATCTGGGGCAATTTCAGGGTTCTGGTGCCATTTTCTCAAAATTTTCTACAGTTGCTTCCCCAAAATTGGGAGCTCGATACACACTCTCCCAGTACTAAAAGTATTTTCAGATCGGCTTCAGACCACAACACTGATCGCAGTCGTGATTAACCAGTCACCTATTTATATTTAGTGTAATCATGAGTTCAGGCTTCGAAATGTTACTGATTTACATGAATGGAATTCAATATGGCTATTAAGAACGACTAAGTATATGGGACATGCTTGAAAGCAACACTGGTAAGATTTGTATAGGGAGGTAGTTTGATTCAAGGTCAATATAAGTACAAAGTTGTTACGTTTGCGATGTTGTACAACTATAAGTCGCCATCCAAAGTCTCTAAATATTTATTGTGGTTATCTCGTGTACCCAAACCAGCTAGTTCATAATTTCTACCATGGCGCCGACCAACAGTCAATTACTTCGTTTGATGCCACGATATGATTTAGCTATCCCCAGCTATCTAACAATCTAGTTCTGTAGTAGCAACCATCGGTCGTCAAAGCAAGCGGTGGTTGGTTATGCGTAACAGGTTGTAACAGCCTCAGCCGATGAAGGTTTGCAACTTCACCTGTCGATTATCTACCATTGCTTAGTATTCTATCCTTAGCTTCGACTCTGCTCTTTATGTCTCCACAAAACTACCAATTCTCGAAAGATACCTCATTTATCTGATTATACTAACGATATCGGATGGCCCGTCAACTGACCTTATTACACAACAGTTCTCTTGCCTCCAAACTTCGTCCACGAGAAGTAGCTATTCAAAATAGAGGCATATTGCACAGGACATTTTCAACCGTAGGAACCTGGGTAAGGGAGTAATTCTTCATCGACTGAAGTAGTCGAGATGTATATTCAGTCAACCTGTGCCTCTATGCACTACGCAGACTAGAATGGGTTGGATGAAAGTCTGAGGTGACCTTATTTATTTTACTGGTATGTAAAGTCATTGATACCTAGTTTGATTCATGTACCCTGCAGAAGTTTGTGGAATTATGATCACGTTCATATTTTTATCAATTACTGATTTGTTAGCATCATAATTATATTTACACTATCTGTAGGAATATTGTATCGCTGACTAAAAACACTCAAAATCTTGTCTTTCATATTTTAAACATCTTACAATACTTACATTCACCGGCCGTATTGTGTGTGAAAAATCATCCCAAACCATATACATGACTGATAGTTTAAATTGTAAGCAAATGGGTGAAGTTTTGGGAGATAACGGAGATGACGTAGTCACTCCATGGGAAGTGTCAACAAATTCAAGCAGCGGCGTGGATTATGATAAGCTAATCGTTCGCTTTGGTTGTTCAAGAATCGACGATGGTTTGCTTCAAAGGCTAGCAAACGTTTGTCCAAGCCTCTACATCACCTACTGAAGCGTCAGATATTTTTTTCTCATAGGTAGGCTGGATAATTTTGAAAAAACTATGATTAAGGGATTTGGAGCAAATTATCTTACGGATCGAACAAAAAAAGCCATTCTTTTGTATACCGGAAGAGGTCCATCATCAGAGGCCTTACATCTTGGACACGTTGTTCCATTCATAATAAATAAGTTGTTGTAAATTTTACAGTCGCATTTTCTAGATGGTTTCAGGACATTTTTGACGTCCCTCTTGTAATCCAGTTAACTGATGATGAAAAGTTTCTGTGGAAGAACTTGTCTATCTCAGAAGTTAATCATTTAACTCGTGAAAACGCAAAGGATATTATCGCCATGGGTTTTGATCCCAAAAAGACATTTATTTTCAGCAATTTTGAGTACATGGGGTAAGCTTTTATTTGTTTCAACTTCATGCAAGCAACTAAAGCTTCCGGCTGTTTAATTATTTGAAATTCACTATACATAAACTTTTATGAATAAAATTCGGAGAGACCAGTTTTAATAAAATTGTAAAAGCCATTTTATACATGCATAACATAGCTATCGAAAATGTTTACTGTCAAATAAATTAGGTGTTACTAGCAATATAGGTTTAGATATTTTCTCATCTTGTCTCACTAATGTGGGAATTGTTTTTCAGTTTAGATTATCTGATGCCATACCACTGATTGAAACACAGCATCACAATACATTCCTGAAGACAATTTAGCAGTGACACACCATTTTTGTTAGCTGCTATTGAGTCCAGTCTGTACCATCTAATTATTTCATCGGTCACATCAACTCACATGGCTTTTCTTTTCAATTATTAAATCCAAGTTCTGAAGCCGGTAGTTAGCCTTTTTAAACTTATTAATATATGTTTGCTATGACCAAAAACATTCAAAGTTTCTACGTGCATAAAGTTGGTGAACACCTGGATTTTCCAAAGATCCTGCCGATCCCAAAAGTGCTTGTCTCAAGTACCATTGTATTGTTTCGTTTGGAACAGTTAGTTCCTAAAAACAATTCATACCAACGGACACAGTTTTCCAAACAATCTTCACTTGGACAGATTTCATCATTGAGAATCAGTTATCGATCATGCTTTTATTCACTATTGTAACGACTAATACTTGTTCAAAACAGATCCAGCTATTGCGTTTGTTGATATGTGACAACTGTTTGCAAATTACAGATAAATGTTCAGTGATTCTGAAATCTTGTCCTAATGTCCAATAAATACTTTGTAGTATAAACTTAATTGTCTGCTTCAAACAGATTCTTAACTAACAAAATAATTTCGATAGTACACACGTGCTTATTTTTTACTTAAATATTTGATATGTGCATTTAAGTTTCCAGCTAATTATATAATATCTGTTATACAAGTGACCACAATTAAATTTTGTATGTATCATGAAGATAGCGTACACCAATGTCACGAGATTATAAAGTCCTAGATAAAAAAACCGTTGTCTTATTTGATATAAGACCCAAACAGAAGCCTCAACATGTGGTTTTAGAATCCGGTTACAACCAACCAAGAATTGTTAATGTTAGTGGTACATCGGGATAAAAGTAAAGTCAGGGGAAAGGTTGCTATATAACTGCAGATCTCGGTTGTCTGAAATAAATATCTTACTACCATTACAGTCGGGAGTGTGACATTGTCCTCGGAATAGGAGTCTGCTTCTTTTGGCATTAATCCTAACATTTTAGTCAAACAATAATTTTGATGTAGAACTATGATAAAAAACTAATTAATAGAAAATGTTTCACTCTTGAGATTTAGATGGTGGTTGGAGGTAGTCAACAGGAAATCATCTAAATCTCAATACATAGTGCCCGCAGTGTCGAGTCACCTAGACTGGTGGCCACATTGCAACATGATCGATAGCATTCGATCTGCACTAATAAGGACTAGACAAGCATGATATTGATCACCACCCAGTGATCAATCAATTGTGATTACATCTCAGTCCTACAGGAGGGTAGTCACGGCTCGGATAGCTCAGTGGTAACGTCTCTGACTGTGAAGCTGGGTGACACGAGATCGAATCCGCCAGGGAGCACCAGTTCCCTCAAGATTACAGGTACACCTTGCTGACGAGTGCCAAGGAGCACGAAACCGGGTCCAGGGTTTCCTGTTGACTACCTCCAACCACCATCTAAATCTCAATACATAGTGCCCGCAGTGTCGAGTCACCTAGACTGGTGGCCACATTGATCGATAGCATTCGATCTGCACTAATAAGGACTAGACAAGCATGACATTGATCACCACCCAGTGATCAATCAATTGTGAATGTTTCACTCTGTTCATTTTTTCTAAATGTATGAATGGTGATATTTCCTGAAGCGTGCGAACCTTTTGTCAAAAAGCAGTTTTATGACAATTCAAAATTGAACCGGGAATCGAATAACCAGGTCCAAGATTTGTATTTTAAAAGTAATTCGGGGCGTTTTTTAATGATTAATAGGCGATTTACACCTTTATTTATCTATATATATTATTCACTAAGTTCGAAGTTCTATCTTCATCTGTAGAACATGCCCAGATTTCTATCGTACCATCTGTCAAATACAACGCTTGGTTACATATAATCAGGCTCGTGCGATTTTCGGTTTCAATGACAGTGATTGTATCGGAAAAATATCTTTCCCGGCCATCCAAGCAGCTCCTTCGTTTGCTCAATCGTTTCCAACTGTTTTTGAAAATCTTAAAAAACCAGAGGATGTCGGTTGTTTAATTCCGTGTGCTATTGATCAAGATCCATACTTTAGAATGACTCGAGACGTTGCTCCGCGCCTTGGACTACCTAAACCTTCTCTTATATACTCAATATTCTTCCCCGCTTTACAAGGAAATCAAACAAAAATGAGTGCAAGCAATCCAAACACATCAGTTTTTCTGACAGACACACCGAAGCAAATTAAAAATAAAGTAAGTATTGAAATCTACTTTAATCGTTGTACCGTAGAGCGATAATCTGTTTTAATCACATTTATATCTAATTATTCTTATCTCAGCAGATGCCCACAGTATATGTTGTTTATATCACTATGAATAATTATGTGCATAGTTTTTAAGTATCACCAACATGTCCATCTTGTTTTAGATCAATAAATACGCTTACTCTGGTGGCGGCGACACAATTACTGAACATAGAGAACGTGGAGGAAACTGTGATATTGATGTATCATACCAGTATTTGAGATTTTTCTTGGAAGACGATCAAAAACTAGAACAAATACGTCAGGTTTGTGCTAGCAAATTAATTCTTTTGAATGTACTTGTTGCATGACATTAGACTTAGTGAAATAAAGTCGTAAAATACCCATTTTGTAAATGTGTTCATTTCTTTTTTTCATTCTATACTTGGTAAAGTAAATATAAAATTTTTCTTAGTAGTTAGTATGAGCCAAATAAGTATGCGACAAGGTCATTCCATTTAGTTTCTTACTGCTTCAACGTTTTAGGACCCCAATCCACATACTAAAATGTAACCAGTTATTAGGTAATCACTCACATACAGGATCTGATTTATAGCTAAGTATGCGGACTTGTGCACATTTTTGGATTAGTCCTATTTAGACATAATTATGTTATCTCTAGCTCTAACTATGGATATGCACTTTTTGAGGGAATAATAATCGTTCTGATATATTAACATGTGTAATTCCTGCAGTCACCGACATTGCAATGTACCTTATCATCTTCCCGCGCGACGTAAACACGACTGCTTTTTGGCGAGTGAGTGAATTCTGTCACCATACATTTGATTATGATCCTGTAACTAACATTATCATGTCATTCTTAGGGGTGCTGATATTTTTTAGTATATGTGGAGCATACCTACTTTTTAAGTACTAATTATTAGCAGAACTAATCAGAATATTATCCAGTCATAGTGCAATGATGTGGGAAATCTATAGCTCAAATGGATGGTTTACGTATTTGTTTGAGCTGAAATATTAATTTTAAAAATTATCACAGTCATTCATCGGTTTTGAGAATGTTATGTTTTCTGAGCTGGATGGTTTAATCATGAGGCATACATTGTCTTTTTCGACATCCTCAAAATTTTAATCCTGGGCTACAAATATTCCCCACTATCTCATTCATCAATATTAGCATCAAGTAAAAGTCAGATTTTTGTATATCTGTTCGCTTTAATGATGTTGTTTTTGGTTTGTTAGTTATCCGACATGTTTCTTTAAGTCATATTTATCAGTTTCATTTCTACAGTAAGGTTTGTGTTTTTCTTTAATCATAAAATTTGTCTATATTTTAGGATTATTCCAGTGGCAAACTGTTGACAGGTGAAATGAAAAAGGAGCTTATCACACTGTTGACTGAGTTTGTTACAGAGCACCAGAGAAGACGAGCAGCGATTACTGATGAAGTTCTCAAGAGATTTATGACTCCTCACCCACTGCATCTTCCATTTATTTAGATGTATTGATTTTGAATAACTACATATCGACCTAGGCAATGTTTGTGAATAAATTTATGGAAAATATTTTTTTATGTTGTATACTCGTTTTAATGATACTTAACTTTCGGAAATTTTACCGGGTTATCTGTAGTGAATACAAAATTGTGTATGCATGTAAATTTTTAGTCTTTTTTAACCTATCAGTGGTACGTTACGTCTTGTTATCATAATTATTAGAAGGAATCTGTGTAACACCTGTCATTGCTATTGCATCTTTGAACTGATTAATTTGTATGTGAATAACATTGTTTGTGTGCGTCTATAATGGATTACCATTCCATTGGCTTACAAAATTTCTCAGTGACAGAGGTAATTAGTCCTCAAATAAGTAAAATCTAAGATACATTTTCTACATGACGTATTTAAACTTAGTGAACACATTAAGCGATAGCGTAAAACAGATTTTATTAAGTCTATCCAGTTCTAATACTGAACTAAGCAGAGTATTAATGAGTTTGAGCTGTTATTATATACTTTTAGTAACTTTACTGATGTACAGATCTATTGGGCTAACAAGAACATGATATAGATACAGAAAGTTACTGGAATTTTTTCACATACGTCCAATCATTCGTACATGTTAAATTAAAGCTCCTATTTTGGATACCATCTTCGGTATTTTTACACCTATGTATAATACAAATGCTATTTATTTGAATAATATTCACAATAATCCCGTCAATTTTTCATTTTATAGTGAATTCAGTATTAGGAAAACTCAAATCCCATCAATAATTAAACCGTGAAGCAAGGAAACGGGATACTATTCAATATTATGGTTCACTTTCTTTGAGTATATGATATTTCACTCAAGACATTATACTTTAAAAGATAACATAGTAGAAAGATCGATTTTCTATTACTAAAATGACGAATCAGTAGCTGTAGTCTGGATGAAATTTGGTTTTGACTCGAAACTTAATTAAAATTGAAGATTTGAGGTCAGCTATTACTACCGAAATTTAGTCCATATTTTACCTATTTTAATGTTCCTTAGATGATTTCCCAAACAGTCAGAAGAATATAGACGTTTTTTTCTTGTTTAGTGTTTGCTCACCAAGTCCCTACTAAAATACAATACCTTTGATCTCAGTCCCCACTAGTAAATTGGACTGCAATTGTCATCCTATAAAATACTTGGTGAAATAAATTATACAGTATATTATAATGTCTAATCCTGAGAGATATTGTACAATCTTTAAAATGGGATTGCTCTAATAGTGATAGACCCGATTCCAGCGGAGGGACAGTTTTTTTATATTATTAATGCGAAAGAAGCGTTAATGTCATCCTCTTAATCCAAGCGACATAGTCAGACGTTAATATTGTTCAAATGTGTGGGTGATGTTAATGATTACAGTAACTTCGTTCTATGCAATTAGTTCCTTTTATGAATTTAAATAAAGCCAGAACGAACACTGATGCAGAATAATATGAATTCAATATATTTCGTGGTTCTTCATCAGCTACTTACAACCAAATATGTATTAGAATTTTACATTGAGGTAAGATATAGTGTGGAACGATTGACATAAGTGGATGTAAAGAATTGGAGTGACAAAGGTTATCAATAATACCTATATACATATATATATACATATATATATATATATATATATATATATATATATATATATATATATATATATATATATAATGTGATAATTTTAGAGGTAATGGAGGGTTTACATAAGATTCATGAATTTAAAATCTGGTAAGATGGGTTACGTAATAATTGAATAGAACTTGAAGAGTTCACATAATTTAAGAGAATCAATTGAGTGGAAATGTATGAATGAAGGCGTGGTTTAAGAATTTGGTAATGGAAGACAAATATAGCAAAATAAAACTAATGACCAAAAAAATTGAATTACCAGGGTAGTAATAGGTTTATTACTGTCTCTTTTTAAATACTTAGATTGGGTTTGAGTTTTTTTATCGCGATTGCTTCAGCAAAACGGAGAGAAGCAGTACTTCTTTGTCTGCTAATTTTAAAAGCATGAGTTTCAACGGTATGCCCGGTGTCAAGTAAATACTGAGCTATCGCACTGTTAAGAGCAGTGATTTCGTCTCCTTTGAAGCGTAAGTCTAGGAAGCAGGTTTTCTTTTCCACTCTATCGTACTTTACCCGAGGGTTGGTTTTGGCATATTTCTTGATGGACTTCGCCGGATATGCATTTTCACGTAGGCAATTTGTGATGAGAGCAATTTCGTCTTCCAGGCAAAGTTTGCGTGCGCAGTCAAAAAGGGTTCGTACAATACCCTCTTGTAACTCATTGGACAGAAACTGTAGTGATTGTTATAAACTCCACTCCAGGTATTTTTGCTTTGAATGTGCCCTTGTAATGTGCCGTCTGATTCCGATATCTAAGAAATGGAATTTACCTTCTACTTCATGTTCCATAATAAAATCTATATCCTTGTTAGACAGATTGAGTAGGTTCATGGAGTGCTTATGATTGTTGCAGACTCTACTGTAGATATAGTGATGACACACTATATAATGTTATTATTGATAACCTTTGTCATTCCAATTCTTTACATCCACTTATGTCAATCGTTCCACACTATATCTTACCTCAATGTAAAATTCTAATACATATTTGGTTGTAAGTAGCTGATGAAGAACCACGAAATATATTGAATTCATATTATTCTGCATCAGTGTTCGTTCTGGCTTTATTTAACTTTGTTTCAATCTAATGTTAGCCATTCGTCCAGATAATGATAGCGGAATTTGAATTCCTTCCCATACCTCAATTAACCTAATATGCAACATCTGTAGAGAACAAAATTATTTAAAGTCAAGAAAAAAGATGATTTGCTGATTTTACGAAAATTTCATATGTTGCTATCTTTTAGTGTATAGGCATGAATTAAAAATGCAACTTACGTTAGCGGCTATACAATTTATAAAGTATTAAGAAAATCTCTATGGGGTAACTAAATTAGGAACTAAAAGATACATTAAAAGGTATTTGTGTTATGATAAATCGATGAGGCCTGTAATATAACATGTAAGTTATGACATTGCAACGACAAACACAGAAGTAGGCTATAATGGTTGGGAGGGGTATGGGATGAATACAAGACCACTAAGCCAAGTTTCTGGCGGAAAAGAAACTTTGCATGTATGCTGTGATTGGATACACTCACGATGCTTAGATGATCGCCTTAAACTAGTGTCTTTAGTAGTCATAACTGTCATCATGATATTTGTATCTCTAGCCAAAATTTACAAACAACGTTTATTGGTGGTTAAACCAACTGGTATATTCGTTTAAAGGTTCGGTTTTATTAGCGTACTTGCTTTATGCTTTTTGTTTATTTACAATATTTAAAGTACAATAAGTTGGATTTATAAGACGTTATAAGTGATTCACGTGTCTACTGTAAAAGATGCTTATTCACCAACCTTATAATTCCATAACAAAATTCAAAGGGAAATCTCCTTCATATATTATAATTATCAACATCTATTTGGATATTTTTCTTTAACCTATCTGTAAATATGAAATGTTTATAACTGATACAAAATCCACAAATAATTAATAATGTAGAATTATTTTTGATTCTCAACTTGGTGTGGAAATTACGACAAATTTGTTCAGATATTCACTTCAAACTTCAATAAACAACAAATAAATGTAATGTGACTAGATAATAATTAAATATTTCTTTTGTTTTATATTATCTGGGCATATTTAACAAAATCCGAATTGAAAAAAAAGTCAAAATAAAAGAAAATATACACAAAAACGTACTAGATTATAGCCTTCTTCATTTGAGTAGTAATCTCATATTCATGAAGTTTTCCTCTGTTTTGATTAAATATTTAATTACATTGTAATGACATAAAATAACAAATGATCTTTGTTGCCAACTAATGTACATCTTGATTAATTACTTGCTAAATCTTTATTAACTGCACGAATGTATTGTTAAATCGATGGTTTTGTAGAATATCTTAACTCTAAAAACAAACGAAATAAACCAGTTCTATGTTTAAGATATGAAGTAATTTAAATTATCAATAATTTAGCAAATAATATGACAATATATTTGAAACACTTCATTGTCCATATATTGAAAGTGAAAAAAACTTGGATGTCGGTTTGACATTTAAGTAAATTTTTCTGTTTGTTTTTTAAAATCTGAATGATACAAAATATTAGATTCTAGAATTTTAATTTTACAGTTTGCCTATTTTCAATATCTTTGATAGTACTAGGTCTTAAGAAATATTTTGTGAATATTCAATTCACAATACTAAAGGTTCCAAAATACGAGCTTAACTCATAAATTATTATATTCATCACTGATAAATGTAGTTCATCTTGTAATGGAACTGATGTCTTGTTAATTTGAACGCTTTATTCGGTTTCTAAGCTATTCTGGTAACGCGCAGCTAGAACTACGCAGCGACCTGAACTCGAGAGAATAGGCGCAAAATAAGCAAAAAACTACTCCAAAGGTTCATTTTTGTACAGAAAAACACGGGTATTTATAGATGTTAACATTTGTTAAATCAACATATTTTGGCCAATCCGCTAAAAGATAACTTCTTTATTCATCCTTAATTTCGCTTCTTTGAGACTATACTACAGCTTCGAACGATTTGGATTAAGTGTCAGTTAATAACCAGTAGTATTATATTCAACAATCCACAATTAAGAATGAGTATTCTGAACATCACATATCATTCGTTATTTAGGTTGACTATTTTTCATTCAAAGATATCTTAGAAGGTTTACCACCCCTATTCGAAAGTTACTGTACAGGTTATGAACAGTACACTTTACAAACACCATAACATGACAGCTATAAGAAGTTGGAAGAAAGCGATCTAAAATCTTGACAATTTTTTTATTTTTGTGATTACTTCACAGTTACGGAACCTGTTGAGTAACACTTTACAATTGGTTATTTAATTTTTCCTGAGATATTTTTTGAGAGCGAATGATTTTGACCAGTGGTTAGTATACTGGGACTGACAATGAATTACTTCAAACCCTACAAATTATAGATAGAACAAAGAGGATAAAAATCACTGCATCATGCATTTCTCTAACTAGTTGCAATATACTTAAATGACAGGGTTAGGTATTTAAGCTTAAATATGAAGGATCCACTATGAACCAACATTTATAATACAAGTATTTTATCGCAAATAGTAGTTGAGATGAAGTGTTGAGTTTCACATTAATTAGTGAAAGACTTGCGTGTATTACATAAACTTCGTCTCTTCTAATCCTAAAAATTATCTACGACCTTAATTTTCATGCAATCACTCATATTCAACTTCGTGAATGATAATGTCAATTTAGAAAATTGTAAAACGCAGCTATAAATTCTTGTGAATGACTTATAGACGGCTTTCACGCTTCAGTTTTATGGTTGTTAAAATACGTATATCTATAGCTCCAAAGAAATCAAAGATCATATCACTAAGCTACACTGAAAACTAACCTAACCAATAGATTTCGATCAGTGGTGAGGAATATTCATAAAGCAGTTATTAGATATTATTAATGACCTTAGAAATATGGATTAGCACATTCAATGAAAATCTTGTTTCAACTAATATATTTACCAATTTTCCCCAACAAATCGTTCGAGTGAGTTGCAGACATTTCGGCTATTGATTGATAGAAATGCATATTAGTAATTAAAGCAAATAAATGTCTTGCTGATAAAGTTCTTTTCATTTTGAAATCACGCCTCCGGGCCTTAGAGCGTAGATGAATAGTTACAGTGTTATGCTACAGAGTGAAAAATGGATGAAAACATCAAGCATTTAGTGGAGTATAGATAATGTCACAACATTATGAAATGATTATAACCAGACACGTAAATCATTGGACGCTTGCTCACTGGTCTATAAGCTAAGTTCCCGCCATACGACTCGAAAATCCTGAGTTCAAACCTCGATGAAACAATGGATAATCAGTGCTGATGTGTCTCCTACCACGAGAAAATAGCTGTTCACTGCCTCCTCACTTCGGAGGTTGTTTCACTTAGACCATTCTGTTATGTAAGCTATGAAATTCAGTAATCTCTGAAACATCAATTAATAAGTAATACCGCTGATATGTTTTTAAGTCTGAAATTGACTTTGAAGGAAAGTAAAAAAGTACGTTTCTGGAGACGTGTTAACTTGTTTGAATGTAACTTTTCATACTACTGTACATCATTAGAATTGAGAATACTTCACCGTTCTTTTATTTTAAAACCTTGAATAAGAAGTGACAAAACAAACAGTATCAATAAATTTATAAATTTTAATATTTCAATGAGTAGAAAAATTGAATTTTCTGACGTTTCGTGACTCAGTGTTAGTCACCTCCTCAGAGACTAACTAAATGTTACAGTTATAGAGAGGATTTGCAACTAAGTGAAATATAACATTCTAAGTACAGCTTAATTTATCATCGTAAATTCCAAAATTAATACAGTGAACAGATAATAAACGTTTGATATATTTTTTACAGTACACAGTCATTCAGTTAGTAACAACGTAGGACTTCGTACGTACGTACGTACATCAGTTCGAATTGCCACACCACATTAGCACGGAGATGGAGTTGTCGATTCAAATCCCGTAGTGGTAGAGGTAGTAAGAGTATAAGCGATAATCGGGAAGAATAGGGTTTGAAGATGTTATTCAAGAAGTATAAACCAGTGAAATAAATTTGGAAGGAGAAAAAGAAAAAGACATGAAGAATTCAGAAGATTAGAATTTGGGAGAACACAAAGAGTGGATGCACCTGCACCATTGCAAAGGATTTTGAGCCATTTCATTCAGGGTCTCTAACCATCGGTTGCTATCATCTCGCGGTCCCCAACCAGGTAGTCTACACCTATCAACATGACTCAGTCCACTTGCCAGTGACTTCATGGACTTGTGCCATGTTTTGGTCTGGCCGCCCCCAGCTTTCTTCCAATCTACTTCTATACTACTGAACATCGCACGTCGAGGAAGTCGGTAGTTGGGCATACATAACACATATCCCAGCCATCTCAACTGATGAAGTTTCAGCACTTCATCAATTGATTTGCCATCCTTACATAGTGCCCGTTTCCTAACACTTTACACTACACTGAAATACTGGAACAGCTGGCCACTAAAATAATTATACGCCATCATTGTGAGGAGGAAGGGAAAAGAGCGAATAAAAATAATTGAATGAGAATTGTATATAAAAGGAGATACAATTCTGTTTAATACCACCGCTTGATATCATAAATGGACCACTTCCCCACTTTTACCATCTAATGTCAGGGTTGGGAGTAAACTACTTATGTGATAATTCTTAATACATATCCGAGCTTAGAAGCCGATATTTCAAGGTAGTGAAACCAAATGAGTTGTCGTCGCTGTGCACAAACAAGAACAGCCTAACCTGACAATTAAAGACACGCATTTATTGCTAGATATCAGAAATCATCAGGAGAACATAGGAAGCCGCTGAACTACCACAATCCAGAGAGGAAAGGTTTCATAAGCACAGGATAGAACTGTTCACACCAACGCGTTGTAGATCCAAACTTTCACAATCTGACAAACACCAAAAATATTCTAATCCGGAAAGTGCCATTCTAGCCTACACTACACGTTGACTGATTTCGTATGATTTCGATTATCATTACTTTCGTTACAGATTATTTTTTTAGATTAATTTCTCTCCTTACTATATGTCCATTTAAGCGGTCATTAATTACAAAGAAAAAAAATAAAAACTTGTAATCATTATCTAATTAAATTACGTCATAACTCTATATAACTTTTAAATAGATAACATTTCTATTTACAACCATTTGTAATACAAACTATTTAGTGTTTAGATATCTTTTATTCAGAAAACCAAATCAAACAATCGGGAAGTGCGAACTAAGTAAAAGAAAGTTTTTAAACCACATTTCCAGAAATATTACGAAGTCATTCTTTCTAGATGAATGTAAGATGGACGAAAAAAGTTACAACTTCTAAGCCTAAACACGCTGTAAATCATGGAAAATCGGTCAACGTGAGTAGGTATTTTTACTTGTTGATGACACTAAATAGCTTTCCAAATACTCAGAAAACTCCTCTTCGATCCCCAATGATAAGTAAGATGTCAAACTGAAGAAAAATATATTCAATCGACAGCTATGTACGTTATGTTACGTTACTTGCAATTAAAAGGCGGCCTGATTGAATGTCTGGGCTACCTGTTTCTGACATTTAGATATTTCAACAAGTTATCTGTTTCCTTGTTTGTTTTAACAGATCATTATGTTAATTAATTCATAAACTATTCAGGTGCGTTTGTGAAAAGTTTCCAACCTTTCTCTGTACAAGTTACAAAAATTTACATTTGGAAATATCGTGATGGTCGGCAATATGGATTGAAAAGAATGAACATTATTCAGATATCGACTTTGAAATGGTAATATCTAACTGGCGGTCACTCAATATTTATCATCAATATTGATCAAGAAATAAGAAACGGAAATTCTCTAAAATACATTGTGCTGAGAATTCTATATTGTACCAAAAATATATTATTGAATAAAGCTAATAATAATAATAATTGATTTGAAAACGTAATGTTATAACGAGACGAATGTTGTAAAAGTTGGAAATTTCGGAACCAGTTTTCGAATGTTTGTTATTCATACTCTTGTTTAACTGTATTGTTGCATTTCTAAATTCCTCTTACTATAGGCTTTCAGTGGACTTTTCAACGCTCGTCATACGTTTACCATTTCCTAATTATTACGGAATAATTATTCACTGTTTGCTGCGCTTTGCTGTCACGTGTGGCTCGATCGTACTTAATGTATGTTTAGTGTGATGTTAGTTGAGCGATATATTCGCAATAATTAAAGGAAATTAGTTATAGTTTCAACAATTTTCTATCATTGAACACATTGAGATCTTCAAATGGCTTTTGTTATTTAGCACACAAGTAATGGTGTATTTGTCTTGCATATACTAACACATAAGACTGAGAACATATGTCAGTTAAATACACTTTATTATAAGATAGTTTCCCATCGATTTTAACCAATTAGTAGGCTTGTTCGAGTTTATTTACTTGAATTGATTTGTGTATATGGTAATTTACGAATGTGATTTTACATTTCTAATTGTATATAATTCGATTTATGCATAAAATATTTCTCCAGACTCGAAAATAATTATCGATTTGGATAATCATTTGTGCATATATAACTTAGCAACACGTAGCTAGTCAATTCTTTGTTTTGCAATATGTATGAAATCATTTCATATTATGTTCTATACTAAAACCTGTGTGTTCGAAACATCACCACTACTTTGTTCTTTTAAATAAAGTGATAGAAAACTTCGTAACTGTGTATTTATTAATAAGTCATAATTTGATATTCTTTTTCATGACGGAGTGACGGATAGTATATCTCTTACCACATAAGTGAAAACATAGTCACAGTTAAAATAATGCAGAAACTAAGTTTTACGAAGATGAAACAATTATACATTTTAAAGAGAAGTTGATTATTCAAACAATATAATCCATACTTACATTGTAATAAATTCGTTTAATTTCATTCCATTTAATACGATTAGTTGGAACAATCCAATAATCTGGGAATTGCTAAAACCATAATGTCAAATACAAAATAATTTAGTGAAATAATATTTACAGATAACTTTATTTTGAAAGCTATCTTACGCACCTTATGATACATTAAATTTATGCTGGGTAGTTTAAAAAGTCCCACAGAAGGAACTAGTAGCCTGGAAGTTGAAAACTGGAGTACTTTAGCTACTAAGCTGGTTTGAACTAATAACCTATTTACTAACTGAAATGGATTAGTGGGTTTATTTGAGAACATTTATCTGTCAAAGAAACTAATTTCATTTGATTAATGCATACAAATTGTAAATTGTTTCGATTTTGTAATATTTTAACTCAAAGAAACCTAACCTATGTATACAACAGAAAAATATTCAACAACTTTGTTTACCTTGACACACAATAGGGTTGTTTCAGTCTTGATCGCAATTTTTTAATACACACAAATATAACTTCCCCCTCCTCATCTTTGTGACTAATCCTCCTTTTCGTGATATTTATTTATTATTATTTGGTATACATTATTCTTCCCTATTTAACATGATATTCCTACAAATTACTATTCTTATTATTTCCATTTGTATTGTTATCATACCAACTATGGCACAAAAATTCCTAATTAGGAATGTACAGCATAAGTAAGCGATTTCATGGAAAAGATTTTCTTAGTTGAGTTTTCTTGACTCATATTTTGTATTAAATTCTTTCCCATACGACCTTATCTATTAATTAGGACTGAATTTGCGATAACTTTTAACGACTTTATTAAGTGATTCAACAAATCTCCTATATTCTATGTTTGGAAACGTCTAATGTTTGGTAAATTTGTTCGTTTTTTTTCTATTTTATGACAGGCTACTGCATGCAAAATTATGAACGAGTATGATTGTATAACATAAGAAACTGAAATCACAGATGAGAAAATTTTCTTCACTGAGAATTCTTCCGTTTCTTAATGATTGAAGTTTTTTCTTTATTTAGTAAATTATTTGACAATTTATGCCGATTGCCTTACTACATATTTTCAAGTGCATTCTACACAGAATATAAATTAGTAAGGTTTATAATATATCCTGAATTCATAAGATGAAACGTACTCAAAATTTCTATCTTATTTTTGAAGATTACAATAATTACACTAACAAGCTATTATTGAAGTGAATGGGTAATTTTACTATGCTTTATGAGAAAGAATAACAGCACTGCACAGATTTCAAATTTATTACTTTTTTTAAAAAAAAAATGATGGCTCATTATATAATGATCAAGGTGAAATTATGCGATCACAATGTTCGATACATTATACTCGAGAGATGAGCGTCAAACTGTGATGTCCTTAATTTGTCAAACTATGGATTGTTTTATATTCACATAAAAAGATACAGATGTAAGCAATTTGAATGACAATTATCAATGATGTTTTGATATTTTTAATAAATATCTGAATAACATTAATAAAATAATTGATGTTAAAAAATGTTCTAAACATTACAGTATTCAATCTGGCGAAAATCTGATGGTGAACTTTTCCTTTACTACGTTAGTTTATACTTATTGGATAAGCAGTGGATAAAGTACGAGTTGATAACTCAGCCGTATAATACGTTACAACTAAAAATCAGGGTTCTAAAGACTGATATCGATTTTCTGACTTTTAAATAAATAATTCTGATAGAAATGTTCAATAGATAATTAATAACATAATAATTTTTGAAGAGATTACAGCATAAATGAATTGAATGCAACAGGTAATTACTTTGTTTTCATCACCTGATATAATGTAACTCCTTGTGGACTGATACCAATCCATACAGAGAAGCGGCATTTGTGAGTAGGTTTCTCAAGTGGATATAAATGTAAATTGAAATCAGAGTTCAGCTTTGTTGCCAGATGAATAAAATGAAACTCAGCAAGATAGGTTACAGTATTCTGAAGCGCTGAATGATGTATATAAGTGTAATAGGCTAGTTCAACACTATCACACGATTTAATAAACTAAATTTTACAAACAATCAAACACATATTAGACAATTTAGGAGTATATAAAATCATGAAATGTATAGTGTTGAAAAACTTAAAACCATTCCGTTTGATAATCTCTTTTGATCTGAACACGATAGAGATAAAAGTATTGTCTTAGAAAATCATTAGTGCGTACAACAAATACCTATTACGTAACTTATCAGTGTGATTCTAAGGCAATTACTCCACTGTATAATTAAATTTTGTATACTGAAGGAATAAACAATACTGACTGTTATCAAACCCTTGGGAAATTACATGTAGAAAAGACAACATGAAAGTAGTTACTATCATTTTACTATGCACACTAGATCATGTCTGAAAAGCGTTCAAATATATTACGAATAAGTACGGCAATGAAATTAAGCACTAAACGATTATCAGCTGGATAGAGTCCCATTTTAGTTTGACTGAAAATATAACCTTCATTACAAGTATATATGTCATTACTACTAGATACTCATGATTTCAGCATATCGATAGCCGTAAAAGTAGATTCAATGTGGTAATATTTCGTTTGATAGAATCTAATTGAAGAAATACAAATGCTTCAGGAAAAGTAAAACTTCTGCAATCTTAAGCAAACACCTAATTACTAACGTTCTTCAGATGAATCCAGATAAGTAGGGTGATTGAAAAATTTGACAATACTGTATATCGCCACCACAGTAAATTAAATTTATATAAAGCGTTTTATTGACGATTCATGCATCACATTCTTGCTTAAGTAGATACTAAAAGCCTAGAATAAACCAAATACTGTATGAGGATAAGTCATTAAATTTCTGATTCGAAATGTTTATTCGTGCCTTTTCAGTTTACTGTTCAAAAAAGATTGTGTTCAGATCGTTTAACCTCCTTACTAGTACATTAGTCGAACTACGCTAACCACACATAATTTACATCTTATGTCTTCTAATTTTCTATGTCTAGCAGTCCTAAAAGTAATCAAGCGCATTGGGACTAAAACTCACATAGAAATAATCATACTATGATAACAAACAAGGGGCAATGAAAATCAGAGTATAAGTGAAAATTTAGATGTTTTCCCTTTCTTGACATTAGAAAAAAGAATCTCTCAAAGTTCTTCAGAAAAATGGTTTATGGAAAAACAACTTCATTTTCAAAATCAAGCGCAACGTTTAGATTCATCCTAAAACTTGAAATTTTTATCATTTGCACTACTAGACTATGTATTATGATTATGATACTGCATTTATAGTTACATACATATGCTTCAAGTATCTTAATAGACTCCTGAAAATCAGTTTTGTATAGTATTGCATAAGTCACTAAAGAAAAAAATTTCAAGACACAAAACCAAAACACTGCAAAACATATAATCAATAGATTTAATTAAAACACTGAAGAGTAAATAGTTTAGATAATGAGCAAATTAAAGAAGCAATTAAATAATGCCACATCTTACTTCTACAAAACGTGTTTATTGGTACAAAAGTAGGTTGAAAAAAGCTAGTGACCAAAATAACACATAGCACCAGTTCATAAATTCAATAAATATTGGTCTGAGCCATGCTGAAAGGTACAAACTATCCAATTATGGTTCGTTATAATCGCAAACAATCATTGGAGACTTTGAATGACATGCCCTAAACTTATCCAAAATGGCTCACACTTATCCGTTGTTTATCTTTCAATTTTAACGTACGGTATTCCTTTGATCTTACCTTTTCACTCTGTCTTTTCTAAACGTATTCCCGATGTTTAGCCTTCTTCTTTATCATTGTTAATGAATAATTTTGAACTCAATTGTTATTCATCTTGTCGTGCTAATATGGTATGTCAACTTGAGCCAACATTCATCTATGACAGGCTCTATGTTTACGATATCTCTCTATAATGCTAATATTACTATACCTGTCATTATTTATAAAATGATATTAGTACTCAATAATTATTATCTTATTAAATGGAATCAACGATGTTTAGTACTTCGAAAATTATGAAATGTCCAATACTTGCTTGTTATCAACGGACTTTCAACTCTAGACGTTTACGGTGAACTTTATTTTATACTACACTTAGTTTCCTTTTTTCAGATAATAGTTGAAATGTTGGTTAAGCATGTAACATATTTACTACAATTTCTGTATTGAGGATTCTTGATAAGTAATTTGAAGGTACTTTTAGTCTATAATATAAGTGTATCACACTTTATGACAGATTTTCTAATCAATAGGGTTTCAAAAATAAACGTGATTTACAATTACGTGCGTAATATTTAAATTGTGTGACTTTAATTTAAATAATCTTCATTCACAGATACTACCAATTAAACTTGAAATAATACGATATTCACTCATTTTCTTAGTCTTCTCAACTTATTATTACATAATAAGACTGATTGCCTAAACATACGTTTTCGGGTAGAACCAGTTTAATATAAGCAATCGAGTAGTTGGATATTATCTGAAAAAATCAATGTATGGTTTAAATCCTTTGATAAAGACTTTTTGCTTATTCAAGCAGGAATTATCTAACTACTTATAATTTTCCTTGTTTTACCTACTATATGTTTATTTCCGAAACGTCAAGTATTTATCAGCTAAGTAGTCGTTCTACAAAGTTATTCTGTTTTATAGAAACTGAATATACAGTTCACTGTAAGTGCTAAAGATCTGGAAATATTTTGCAGGTGGTTTTTGAATCGAGTAGTGTATGAGTAGTAAGTGTCTACATCCAATAGGATACGAATTTCATCTTCAATCCAAACGTAAGCCTATCACACCAATGTTGCATGATTTGAATAATGAGTTACCTAAATCGCACATATAGTTGACCAATGAAATGTACATTTACCAGTCATTGAATATTAACCAGTATAATTTCATTCAGTTTTTATTACTAGCCAACTCCTAATGGTCAACGTTGATTAGTAACAAGATATAACACCGTCTACACCATAGTATCAGACTGCTGAAATTACACTACTCTGCAACTTGATTTTAGCTAAGTAGAAACGTCTTCTGATTTGTAATCAGGATATTTAGGTTCACTTATCGCAAGCTGAGCTTGCTGTTATCCCACTAATAGACAGGGAACTTAGACTAGTGGAATGTTTTAATTGACGATAATTAGTGTTTATTTGTCAAAACAGTAGAAAAAATAATTCAACCTACTTTCTTAGGATAATAAAGTTCTGGTAGAAAATAGGATGTTTCAGATTCCGGATTAAAATATTTTGGTGCATCACCCAATTCAGCCTGTAGCGCAAACGCTGCTAACTGTAAATATACATTTGGATCACAAAATAATTCATAGGCAACATGATTTTTTCGTAGTTGTAAATAATAAATATGTTGTGTTGCGCGTTCATTTATACAATGTATCGGAAGATAAAATCGGATGCGAAAATATACAGTTGGATATGATGATTGTAATGAACAATGATACATTGGCTTATTTATCGGTAAAGACAAAAGACCCTGTTGAAATCAAATGAACAATAAAACAAATTCATAATAACCTTTATTTTCAAAGAAATCTTTGGTATTCAAAGTATTTTCTTATGTATGCACTTTTAAGATTTAATTTAAGCTTAGGCTTTCTTGTTCTATCATATATGTACAGAATTTATATGAAACATTAAGTCTAATTCATCATATTAATTGTAAATTTTAATTGTATAAATCAATGAATAACTCAATTTAAATTAAAACAATAAAAAATTGAGTAACCCATATGGTATCAATTGTTTAATATCCTGTAGAAAAATGTCAATAGAGTTAAATGAAGTAAATGGAAAAAATAGGCAACTATTCTGTTTGAAATAGAATAATGTACACGTTTTATGGAAGTTATCTTATTTGATCATATAGGCAAAACTAATACAAAATTTAGGTAAATGTTTTATGTACATTGAATACTAAACAGCTATCAGAGTATTTATTTATGCTCCTGATAATAACAATTACAAAAATCCTTTGAAAATAACAAGATAAAAGTCTTGAGCAAAATGACATAAGTTTATTTTATTTCACTATGTTCTTGTCAGCTGCTCACAATTTGTAATATTTAAGAATTATAAGCTTTGTACAATCAGTTAACAGAGAGCTTTGATCAAAGCATTTACTCATTGAGTTAATAAGTTATGTACCACTGACAAACTAGAATAAAAAATGATTAACATTTGAAAGTGCCTTATAGATAACTGTTATGCAAAGGAATGTATTAATAAACACAACATACATAAAAACAGCCGATCAGATGTAGCTACAGCAAATAAAAACCAATATTTATCCACTTCAACTTCAGAGATGATAAATTTACAAGGGTATAAAGTAGAAGGTCCAAGACAGCATTAGCCAGAACCTAACATGAAGTCAAACTAATAATGATGTGTAAAAAACATGTTGAGCTATTTGATGAAATGTTATCACTGACTGCGTCTACAAATTTACATTTACCCCCCAAAACAATTACAATGGCTAAACAGAAGGGATACCACATCCCATAGAGCTCTTATTCAATAGAATGAGATATAACAAATATACACTAAACACCACTAGATATCTCTTGAACATAGAACATCAAGTCGATACTCTAAAACTTTTCAGTGTTTATTAAAAAGTTAAGCTCCGATCTTCTGAAGTTTGCTGGGGCAATTACTATCATGTGTTAGAAACCAGAAAAGAAAAAATTATCAAACTTTATTCACCTCTGTGATAAGGAAATTTCTTTGTTACAGTTTGAAATTTTATTTAAATCGTTTTTTTGATTTATGGAATCATTACATCTATTTCCGACTCTCTTCTCCGTCGGTACTTTCCTTTCATATAACTCTTTGATCTTTTGTAACTATATATTGTTTCTCTACATAAGATATTTATTTACAATATTTATTTAGTCTCTTAAATTTATTTACATCTTTGCTAAGCGATACTGTTGTATTTTTAAAACAATCATCAGTAAGCTTAACCGCGGTTTTTGAATACTACGGGTTGTAGACAGCTGATGAGACTGTCATTAAATTAAACGACTTCAAACAGAGATGGATGGTAGCTAACAGTCGAACCCAAGACCATTGTTTTGTTCTGTTTGGGACTTGTCACATGAATGTATCTGCATTTCAGAGTTTATGATCACCCTAGAACTCGAACCTAATGCCTTTTGCTCCACATGCTATTGTGTTATCCACTTAGCTACTGAGTCCAGATAGCCACCGACTTGGGCAATAAGCTGAAATTTAATTTAAATTGATAAGAAAAACTCACCTTATTGCACAAGTCAACGGCTATCATGACTCAGTAGCTAAGTGAATAACGCGATGGCATATGAAGCGAAAGACATTGGGTTCAAGCCCTGTGGTGATCATAAACTCTGGAATGCAGATACATCCAGGTGACGAGTTCCAAACAGGACTAAAAGGATATACTAAAGCTATTGTTTAACTTAACTACATCAGTTATTGACGCATTCAAGATGTAGTAATTATTCCCTAATGTATCTATTTTATTTACTGACTATCATCTACCTAATTATCACCTTTTATCTACACTTTCTAAAAATTATGATACCAGTTCATAGTAACTTAGGCTTTGCGAGTAATTAAAAAGGATGTAGAATTTTCAGTAAGAATTACAAGTGAAACTAAGTTATTTATTGTATTTTGGCGAATGCAGTTAAATCGACTGAGATTATTAGTTGTATACATTCATCTAGTTATTTTTTTATTTATTATTAACTACTGCCTAGTTCCGTCTATTAAAAATTACCTATTGATCAGATAACTAAATGACTTATAACGCAGTGAATTTGGACAGAACCTATGAATACGGTGCTATATGTGTCATGCATTTATTTTGTGCGGTTAACAAAACCTTAACTGCAGTCTTACTTACTTCCTTACATTGAGTGATATGGATCTTTGTCTGGTTACAGAGTGCCAAACAAACATTTGTCTAGATAACCATTACAAACCACTATGCCGGAGGTTTGTTCCAGTTACAACAAAAAGTCGGGAAAAAATAACCATTGAGACACCAGTTAGCACGTTACATAATATGTGACATATGATTAATGGGCGGACACAGTACCGACGTTTTTAAGCAATTTCGTTAGAGATTTCTGCAAACAAATAACATCGGGGTGATTATGATAGGACAATTGCTTGACTGTAGGATTATTCTCGGTAAATTTTGTACACTCATCTACAGTGAACTTATCTGTATTACTTAGTTATGTAAATAATACATCATAAATAAAAAGTCTACTCAATACTACTAGGTGCACTGTTTTTAGTCAACGAAATCTCAATTTTGAACTAAAAGATGGCGAGACAACATTTTTTCTAAATTTTATGAAAGCTATCTCAGAAATGCTTATTATGTGATCTGAATGAAACCGTTACCCGTGTTTCGTATTTTCCTCAATTTATTTTTCTTTGAATTTAGCTAAATGTTATTTAGTGAAGACTTTGAATTATATTGTCTCCAACAAAACTATTATCACTTCACTTTAGCTATCTGGCATCTGAATATCTGCAATTGATTGCCAGTACAATACATAATAAAAAATAAGATACTGTAGAAGCTAATCTTGTAATTCTCTTTAAATGCTAGTTTATATAGTAAGAAAAATTAGCCATTAGATAGACAATACGCTATCTGATTTCCTAATAGAAAAACCATGTTTATTTGTATTGTGGTTTTCAAATGATGATTTTATCTAAGATAACTTGTTTTAGTTTGCATCGCTTTATACACAAGTTAAAAATAATTACTAGTCAAGAGATTTTAGCTAAACTCAATGTAAGATGTGGATGCTCTTACTTCTGAATAAAATCCTCCTCCTACATAAAGAAGCCTGGTATAACGTTTTATTTTTTTATAATATTCAAAAAAATTAAAACAGTTTTTATCATGAACAGAATAGATAATATTTGCCAGATTTTCTATATTTTTCCAATGGAACCCAACTCAATCCACATAAATTCACTGACGAACTACTTATTTGGTTGGGAATAAGTTCACTGTGTTTGATGGTTGAAACCAGTTTAAAAAGTTAGATGACATAGTTAGTGAACTGAATGGTTTTCTGTATTTAACCTGTTAAGTTTTTTTTTAAAACTGGACACGATCGCGGTTTGTAAAAGCAGTTTGCCAATGTAGATATTTTAGCTGAAAATGAACAATTATTATTTTTTGAATTCAAAATACAATACGTTTGTCTGTGTCCACCTAGTTCGGTTTGACTTAAATTGCTTTAATTTAAGGTTTCCTGGTTTGTATAATAATCCAAACACTTCTAACTACCACATTGTCATCCCGATGAAGCCTGTGATGGAACAGTTGGATATATATTCAAATTTCGATGCTTTTGAGGATTATAAAGAAAGGTTTGAAATCTGAACAACGATCAGAAAGGATCTTGAAGATGTTAATGTTGTATCGCTTTTCCTTACATTCATTGAAAAAGAAGCCTACAGCATACTGAAAACTTTAGCATTTTCATTTAAGCCGATTTCACATCTCTACGCAACTCTCAAGGAACTACTACTAGAACAGGTAACGTTTACACATTCATGGTGCCGCGAAGAAGTAGAACTTCATAAAAAGATTCATCAGAGCGCCAAGAATTTCATTTCATTACCACGTCATTCCGATACGGTACGTACTTAAGGTTATGCAGATGAAAATCATTTGGGAGTTGTTAAGCAGGTTACGAAGATGAGCCCGAGTTTGGTAAGTATTTGTCATGTAGAAAACTTCTTTCGCGTAATTTGTATGAAAGTAATGATGTTCATTTCGCAATGCGGAATGGGTACGTGACAGCACATACACCAATTTTTGGTTCTTCGAAAAGTAAATCGAAAATATTAGTATATACGGGATTTTTTACTTTGCAGGGAGAGGGATTCAATACAGTACTAGTATACTCACAGCTAGGGCATTGTTTCGCAGAACAAACGAGATAGTATCGTATCCACAGTATATGACTTTACTGATCTTTCAGTTGCATTCATAGAATCCTACGCTGCTTTGAAGGGGATAATAGTTATTACGTTAGTTGCACTGTGTTTTTATTCTCTGTATCAGTTTGGAAAACAATTCTATATCGATTAGAAAAGTTCAATAATAAACTCGTTCGAATAAAGATTTGAAAAATTCGAGTACTTACGGCGGAACACTTTTGATCAGTTGTCACGAAATAATTGATTATTATCCTGTGCATGAACTCACTAGGTTCTAAAAATAGCCAACCCTCATCTACAAAATAACAAACAGAGTACAATCCACCATTTCATACCATTACAAAGCATTGCAAGGCCAAATATATCACGCTCGTGCAAATCCATAGAAGAACATACTTCATGGAAGATATCTTCAACAAGAGTATCGTTGGTGAATTTATAGCAAATCTCCTTATTATTCAAAAGGACAACCTTTATATTATTAATATAAGGATGTTTTGGGCAGCAACGAAACTTAGACATCAATATCATATAAAGAGTAGACAAACGTATGCGATAACAAAAGATGGTTTATGATTTATGCGCAAAACGACACAGGTCCAATTTCAATACCTATGTACCATTCAATAAGCAATGAAATTTTGATGAACTAGCAGAGAAGGAATGATTTCTTCATTTCCTTCGATCCGGAATTCAGTTAACTCAGATTACAGACTGTTGAATGAAACTTTGTTGAGGACATTAAAGAAGTCATTGATGGCTGGATATGTATGGAGCATTTCATTATTAACAGCACACAACTTTCAAGAGCTAAAAACAGGTCTGATAAAAAAATACTAACTCATTTTAGTGCCGTACGTTCCTTCAAAAAGAATCTAGTTTTCGTCCAGGTGTTAAAGCAGAATCCTAGCGATATTTTCTGGTATCTTAACGATCATCCCGTTATGCTTACAAGTTAATAGATCTCGTGTTTGCGTCTTGTAGCGGTAAATAAATCCCTAAATCAATAGCTCTGTGTGCCTTAGACATTCAGTGCTGACTACATCAGTTTTAATGGATTTGCTGAAGGCGCTCGATCATGCATCTGTACCAGATCATGAGTGGGAACACCGTGCTCAACACCTCCTGCAATCGCTAGCCAGATTAGATCATTCGATCCTCGATAAATTGATAACCTATCAATTATATATTCGAACCTCTTCACTTTTGTTATTCGATTTCACTTGATGGGTACGATCATTGTAAAATGTTACTGGTTAAAGCGTTTTCAAACTCCAAATACCTGTGGCATCTTCAGTCTAATAGCTGCCTTCTTGCTCAAACTTACAAGAATACCAGCAGTTATTTTTGTAATCTGTGTTAAAATACAAATGGATTGAAATATGCTTAGTGAGTTCGCAATAAAATTTGCTCTCTGCTTTGGTGAATCTACTGAGTATTCTCATACATTTGCATTTAACTGACAGACCAAAGACGTCAATTTCTTTAGCCGTCACATTGTTTAGAATGAGGATGGGTATATGTATATAAACCACAGGAAGGTGAGTGTTTGAACTAAATACATTACTAATATGATCACAAGGTGCCTGAGTTTTATCTCAATAGCCTTCCGTCAAGGACGAAGTACAACTTTCTCCACATAATGCTGATAATCCGATTCTCTCACTAACCAATCTAAGGGTCTTGAGAATTGTATAAAACCTTTCACAAGCTTTTCTCCAAAGAATTTAAAGAATTGCATAGGAACAGAGCAAAAATATTTTTGGTTTTCGATATGATGATTTCGCCTCATTAACACTCTCTAACCTGAAAGATTCCTGCAAATTTTTTTCTATGAGTAAGGGTAAGAGCCTGATAATTGGATGCCTTGGTGTACTGGAAGCTACCTGTGCTGTCGTGGCCTTTACGTACAGACTCCAAAATACCTCGAAGACATCTGGATAAAAGTTTTTTACTCTATATACAACCTACTGAGAACCCCGAGTATTTTTCTCGTAATTGCTCTCCAAACGTTTCGTCTGACATTAGCCGTTATAGGTGTTGGCAACATGTGAATCAAAAGCCAGAAGAGTATGGTCACTCTTGTCTAGAGTTGACATAACCTGGGTTTGTGCCGTCGCCCTCACAATGGCATAATCGAACATCAAGACCTCACCACCTTTAAATTCAAAATACTTAGGTCATTTTCACCGGTATGTAATCTTAGTTCCAGTTCTTTTCAGATTCGATTTTATACTATCAGCTAAAGGCGTTTACCGGTTAATACTCCTGATTCCATCAGTTTGTCCATTCTGTAATACCACGCCGTTTACATCAAGAGAAACGTGTGCCACTTTCAAAAGCCAACTTGGCTCTTTTTCATGTCCACATGATTATCTGGCTTATGAACCTATGATCGACTGAACAGAAGGGCACATTATCTTTAACACTTTTGTCAACATAATTTCAAGATCGAAGCGATTAAACAGAACTTTCATCATGATTATGAAAGTTGACTGGATCATCAAAATTGATGTACCTACCGATTTTAACTACTGTTAAAGCGATCGGCTTTTATGACACTAGATCGCTCCTTGCTGTTTATTCATGTATGTAGTTAGCTTTCACTGGATTGGCTGTCCTACTCATGGTACTCGCACCGCGAGATCCTGAAGGACTTTAAAAGGATTGAGTGTACAGACGAAGAATTCTGTTGTTTTTATAGTTATACAATCGGTATACTTATGCGTTTCCTAAAGGTCAAAGCACAGAAGAAAACTGCCTTCGAGAGTTCTTATCGCTGACCGTAAATTCAACTGCACGGTGGAGGTCACCAGTCTTTTCAAATACATGAAGGAAATGATTTTTCAAGTATACAAATATGAACAGGAAAACGAAGAGCATGGTGCCAGAAAATGGAGACTCTTCTTAAATTAAGGAATTTACTTAAGAGCGACATCCTTCTCACATCCAAGTATTAATAAATAAATTGATACGTACTGACATATACATATAAAACCGATAAAAGGTACGCGTTATGCGGTTGATCATTTACGGCTACAAAAATAAGCCTGTAGAATAAAACTAGCATTTATAGTGAATTGAGCACAATGTGATCTGTATCAGTGTGACACTTCTGGCAGTAAATAATTGCCTGAAATAAAGTTTAGGAAGTTTTTGATATTGAAGCAGCCGCACAACATCACATACTTCAGCAGCTATTTAGTCTAGATCATATACTCCTTTGTCTTTCCTGTATTATGTCGAGTCAATATGCATGTATGTGAAGAAACCTACAAGTGTATATTTACTCTTCTCTCACCATATGTAATGTTATTGCTTCATCTATTGGTGAATCCTTTGGTTCATCTGACATTAACCTATCATAGTCTACGTTCTCACTTTTCTTGACTCTAAATTTTGATGACTGCTAGGTTTTGCTTTAATCGATCGTATATCCTAGTAACTGCCATAATGGAGAACCAAATTCTATATCCACATACTTCATGTTAATTCCGAGAATTTCAGGTTCAACCGATGAATATCGAGTGCCCCTCATAAAGTTACGCGAATGAAACTCTAAGCGTCACTAAGGGTTCATACTGATGATCAAAGACTTTCTTCTGAATGGATTACATAACAACATTTATGTTGCCGTATTGAGATTCGGTAATGTGGAATACCTGGCCTGATCTTCGTAATTCAGCTAGATCTTAACTTTGAAGGATCGCCTTCTATAGGAAATCACGAGGTTCGTAAGCACACAGGGGTTAAGCGGTTTGATTGGAAGTCGTGAGGCTCAACTGACCGTTCACTTATTGTTGAGTTTAATGTTTAGTTAGACAGACTGTTTTAAACAGAATGCACAAACCACAACATCAATGTCAAATAATTAATATAGTACGAATGTGTGCTATAATATTACGGCAGAAGAACATCGCTATTATACATGCTGACAGTCGTGTGAACGTTCGTCTAGGTAATAGATTAACAGTTGGAGTAAGCAAAAATTATTTAAAGACTATAGTGGAGTTCGTGAGAGACTAAGTCATTTAGATATTTCCCGACCGTATTGCACATATCTAAATAGGAGACGAAATTAACACGACATACGTAGAGTGATTTGTGATGTGATGAGTCTACCACAGTTCTGGAGAGTATAAATGAATACGACTTACACGAGGACATGTTACTGCATGTAAAATGATTTGCTATGCTTAAATGAAGTAATGCAAAATCAGCAGTTATTATATGCACGTGTATACTATCACCGAACGTTCAGCTTTTATTTATTACTTCACAGGTTTGTCAATGGAGTAGTCCCATTAGCTTTCACAAAATAGGAACTCTTTAAATAGAAGTCTGCAACCTATGTAGACAACTTTCATTACAACGTCTGGCACTTAATACAGTGATATGTATAATGATAGTGAATGGACGGGAAAATACTATCCTAATTGGTAAACATGAAATTTAAAAATATTCGATAACACGATTTTCTTGACCAGCGTTCTCATTGTTTGCGACCCAATTTGGATGAAGATAGCAGTAGTAAGGAAGGAAACATGAAATGTAGACGAGTTGTCTGGTGGAAACTTTTTTCCATTTCTATAATATTTAGTAAGATGCTCGTAGTTTGTGAACCGAGAAGTATAAGCAAAAAGCAGTTGAAAAGACCAATAGTTTCTTAAAGAACAAACACGCACACGAAGGACAATGACACGAACATGATAGACTGTTACTAGTTTTAAAAAAAAGTGAAGGTCAAATGATATAACATAATCTGCTGTACAAAAAGAGAAAGGTAGCAAGTAGTTATTTTAGAACTTAGCTCACATAACTGTCTGGAACGCAGTGCATCAGTAACGTTAACTCGAAACAATAACAGAATTGTCATATACATCTTAATTTTTGGGAAAAAAGCAACACTTTCCCCAAAGTAAATGGGCGACGTTTACTTAGGACACATAATGATAAGTGGCAGCGTTACTGGAGTCTCTTTTCATATAATCTCGTTCAATTAAATTTTCGATACGTTTCTTCACATCACTTGCCTACATATATACAAATGGAAAAAAAATCAGTAATAAAAAATTATCCAAGGTAAACAAACCATGAAGTGTGGTTTTGAAAAATTAAATAAAAGGATGCTATTTGTACATTTATTAGTTACAGGATGATAATAACCAAAACTGTATCCCACTATTGCCTTTACCATTGTTATTCTGTCAAGAAAGTCAATAAGTGTTATGCATCCTTGAAGAACACAACCTACACAAAATATAGAACCCACATCTTATGAAGCAAAAAATTAAATCTCATAAGACCCCACCCATTCGTTATAAATATTTGGTTTTAGGGATACAAACTGAAAGTACATAATAGAGAGCAGTCCATAGAAAAAAAAGAATACTCACTCAGTCATGGTATGGGTCAACAGTAAAAGCACGGTTGAAAGTTACTTACAAATAATTCCTGATCCATTGTACATTTGTGCGAATTTGGAAAAGGATTCGTATTCATACTGATTAATTTAGTAACTAAGTTAAGTTTATAAAACCCATACTTAAATATTCTCCCATTTTT